TATATATATATATATATATATATATGAGATGAATTAATTACAACACACATACCCATCATCGAAATAATCATGAGCATAAGCGAGCTGTCCACTTATAGTGCTGTTTATCAGACCATCACCCTGCACATACAATATAAACATATACAAACAAACAGAGGTTTGTTCTATTAGCTCAGGAAAATTATATTGGTATAAAAAACTAAAAAACTGTATTAATTTTGACATAAACCAGATAGTCCGAGGAGGATGAGGAGGTCCCTGTATACGAATGCATCTGAATCTTTGTGGGAAAGCTTCGATCGATTGTGGACGCGGCTACACAGATGCTCCAGGGGTTGACATTCGTCACCAGATATGGCTCGGGCCCATTATTACCTGCCGCAAATACCACGCTCACCCCTTTCTGCATCGCGTGAAACGAGCCGATATCAGCCACTGATTCGTAGAAGGGCGAAAGTGGGGGCGGACTCCCGACGGAAACCGATATGACGTGGACCCCATCGTGCAGGGCGTCGTCGAAAGCAGCAAGCAGGTCAGCATCAGTGCATTGTCCGAGCATACTCCAGCAGGCCTTGTACACCGCCAGCCTGGCCCTGGGTGCCCCGCCTCTGGCCGTCCCCCTCGCCAACCCAAAGAAGCTCGCCCCATCGGATATCGACCCCACCGCCGTCGACGCCGTGTGGGTTCCGTGCCCGCAGAAGTCCCGAGACGAATTGTACTCGGTGAAATTCCCGTCCAAATTGATCTTCCCGACCACCCTCTCGTACCCCGCCAGGTAGTATCGCGCCCCGATCAGCTTCCTGTTGCATGCACTTTTCGGTTCGAATTCTTGGCCGCGCACGCATTTTCCTTTCCAAGACTTTCGTATGGGTCCCATCCCGGGCTCCTCTTTGAAACTATCTGATTCAGGCCATATGCCTGTGTCGATAAGCCCAACGATTACATCATCCCCATAGCGTTTCTGCAACGGATTACTAGTGTCCAGGCTCAGACCCATAAAATCCCAGCTTCTTGTGGTGTGCACTTGCGATACTTTGCTCTCAAACACAGATACGACGCCATCACTATCTGCATTGATTCATTCATTCATTCATAACTAGCTAACTAACTGCCTTCTTTTAGTTTAATTCATTACTAGTAGAATTTCTAACATTTTGACTTACTTGCTAACATATTTGCCTGACTTTTAGTCAGCATTGCAGCAAAACCAGACAAGCCATGCTTGTAGTGATACACCACAGCCTGCTCTGCTTCCTCATTGCTAAATTGTAACACAAAATTAAAAAAAAAAATAAAAAAAATCAATAATAATAATAATAATAATAATAATAATAATAATAATAATAATAATAATAATAA